TAAACCGGCCACGCGAGGAATTGATTTTCAAGAGCAAATTAAATGCAACTCATAAAATGACTAACTTGTATGAAATTGGACTCCTGGAACCATCACCAGGAATTGCTAAACAACGCAGTAACACAGAATTGATCTGAAATCAATAATCCGTGTGACGTTTGAGCCTTTTCATTTTCTTTCCGAGAATCATTTTCTACAGCTTTATTTTTAAATCTCAACATTAACAAGACCAAGCTGTGCGCCTTTCCATCTTGAGAAGCTCTGTCTGGAGTTCAACGTAATTATTTTTGCTTTTTTTTGAAGCTATGCGACCGATAACTTTTCTAGTTTCTTTGATTAATGCTGGTTCGCCTGATGATCAATCTTTTGGCGAACCTAACGTACGTTACGCCTTCTGAAGTGCTTGCTAGCTTACTAATTTCTCCAAGACAGGCGCTAGATGAAAACGGTACTAACGCCACTGAACAGCTAATCCAGAACTTGATTCTTACCAACATGCCTTTTAAAATTTCCTGCATTCCAATGGGACGACTGTAAACTGTAAGTTGAACTCAAGCAACAGAGTGGCAAGTCGTAGAGAACTAAGATTTCCTTTATTTTGAATATCTTTTTTTTCATATCTTTATTTTGAATATGTAAATCCCGCATGGGGATTTTGATGCCAAAATAGCCCTACCGGAATGTCCTCGTCCACTGTAACCACTGTCTTGCATTCACCGTTAGTTTGCCATTGCGGAGCGCTTTGTTGTTTTTCGTGTACGTTTACAACCACTTGTACCGTACTTCGCTGCGAAACTGGTTTCCCGTTATCGTCAGCAATCACGTTGAATACGAAACGATCTTTCTGAAAAATTAAGTAAGCGAAAAAATTATCAAACCGGGAGTCATTAGATATTTAGAAAAAAAAAACCAAAAAACAAGTATTCGAAAGAGTTTCAAATATAGCAAAGAATAAAGTTTTTTTTATTAGCTTGAAATATGAAAATCATTATTTTGATTTTCAAAAAAATCCGTAATGTTCTCAGGTTTTCCTGAAGACTCGTCAAAAAAAAAAAAAATTACGTGCGAAGGGATTTGATTGACGAGTGTTATTTCGCCGCTATTTTCATTGATAATCCGGAAGAAGCTCGCGTCTTTACGGTGCTCCTTTCCAGCTGATGCATCCTCAGACAGTGAATAAGTAATGCGAGCATTCTGTGGAGCATCCGCATCATCCGCAAAAACTGTCACCACTGAGTAACTACAAAATTATATAAGTTAACCGCGATTTTCACACCACGATTTTTACATTCTTGGAAAAACAGAGTTTATTTTTCTCACTTTGAGCTGAAAAAAAGGAAGTGGCTGAAATTTTGTGGCAAACAAAATTTCACCATTCAAATTTTTTGCGAAAAAATGTTTTTTTAAAAATCGTAGAAAATTCAACATCACAGCGCAAAAAATGCAAGCAATCAGTACCCAGCAGCAACACTTCTTGAAATCGATGTTTCATAAGATGCCCGATCAAATTGTGGCGCATTATCGTTTACATCCAGTACTTGCACCGTAAATTGACAAAAACCAATT